ATGCAGAATGAATTAAACTTGGTGTTTTAAGTTTCCCTTCTTGGGGTTTATGTTGTAATTGACTTGGTATTGTAGCTTCTGTTCCAATATTATGATCATTGGTATACAAAGATTTTACATGTTTTTGTATGGACAGTACACCAATTGCTTGCAGTGGACAAGTATTCACCTTGTTAAACTTTACACTCACAAAAGCTACAAAAGCAAAGTTTTGTTCAAGAAATTTTATGTAGATATGCATATTGAACTTAGGTTCCCGGTTGAGAAGAAACTAGCCAAGAAACTAGAGGCGAGAAGAGAAAAAAATTTAATCAAAACTTGTAATATTGACAATATATCAATCATATTGAACCTCGTTATACAATTACTATCAAATACGACATGGGGATGTTTGATTTTAGATCAATCAAAACTTACACTATTGACAATATATCAATCATATTTATTCTAATTAACATGAGGTACATTAGTGCAACCAAAATAAACAAATATTACAAACTAGTGTCGTATTACTTATAAAGCCCTTTTCTCAAATTTTTGTTATTTTGGAATAAGTCAATAGCTTCAAGTTATGCATCGCAGTTTCCATTCTATAGTTCGACAGATCCAGACTCTGCGTTGTAGTTTTTCTAAGCCTTAATCATAATAAATGTCTTAAGCACAACATATTTGAAATAAGAACACAAGCATAAAATTCCACATTTACCACCAAGACCATCCTTTTAATTGCCTCCAATATCTTAAACACAACATATAACATACTTAATTGTAACGAGTTCAATACCAATTTATTCTTTGCACTCTTTTAGTATATTGTTGTATACAAACTAAAATAAAGTTTAGAAACCATAATACAAGTACATATTTTTTAAGTTCTTGTTTTTCTCTTAAAAATTATGTCACAAGGCTAACGAGATCTACCGGTTTTTATTTGTCTAATACAAGTACATATTTAGGGGGCGTTTGTTTGCCCTCACTAAAGAGTACTGGACTGGACTAAGGGTTAGTCCGGTCCCATGTTTGTTCGGGACTAGGTTTAATGAGCCTCTAAGTCTCACTCGCTCCGACAAAAACGCTCGCTAGGGGTCTTAGCGAGACCCCCCGAAAAGGAGCGGACTGCTAGTCCCTGCTTCGCCCCATCTCTGCTTCGTTTCACCCCTTCCCGCTTCCCCCCATTTGTGCTTCGCTTCACCCCTCCCTGCTTCGCCGTCCTTCCCTTCCCAGAAATCCAATTGAACTTCGCCGTATTTCCTCTCCCAGAAAAGTTAGAAACATCTATCAGAGAGATAAAAAAAAGAGAACAATGGAGTCGCCATGGCTTTGCGATAAGAGGAGCATCAAAAACCGGGTACGAGATTTCGGTTCCTTCTCTGTCCCACGAATCCAACCCCAATTAAAGGTTGTTCTTATCCAGAAATTTGTAGGAAAAACGAAATCAAAATTTGCGATAAACCCATAAAATATCAAAATATGTGATAAACCCAGAAATCTGTGATATGCAATTTCGAATTACAGAAAATATCAAAATCCCAATCATAGAAAATATCAAAATCTGTGATAAACCCATAAATATATTACCTTGGGTTGCAGTGCTCTTCTCCAGAAATTTGTAGGAAAAAACGAAATCAAATTGTAGTTGTAAAACATAAATTATAGTAGAAATTTGATATGTGATTTCGAATTTGCAGTGCTCTCTCTGCTTTGAGGAACAAAATGCACAGATCCTCATTTGAGGAAGAAAATTGGGAGAAATGGGGGAGAAAAAGAAAGAGAGGAGGGAGATGGTTGGCCTGAGAAAAGAAGGAAGAAAATGAAGGAGAGGGGAGTGAGAGAGTGGGAAGAAAGAAGAAACGATGGGCCAGAGAAAAAAAAAGGGAAGAAAACGAGGAGAGGGGAGTGAGAGAGTGGGAAGGAAGAAAAAAAAGAATGGTAGAAGTTTCGAGATAGGAAGAGATTTTCAAAAAGAAAAAGATAAATTAATAATATAATATAAATTTTATGAATTAAACAATATAATATTAAAATTTATTAATTATCTTAATCCGACACTGCACCAAACGCTTTACTAAATCAGTCCAACTTAGTCTAGTCTAAGCTAGTCCAGCTTAGTCCTTGAATCTAGTCTAATTCGAGATAATCTGGTGCAACAAACGCACCCTTAAGGGACTGGTGACACCACTTGAACTATCCATGAGAATCAATTTGGGTTAATGCTTTATGCAAGGATTTTTCCAATGCACATCATTTACGTTAACAATATAACAAAATTCAATAGATTGTTTAATTTAACGTGATCTAACAATTTTTGTTCTGCTGTGTAACTTAAATCAATGTGCATTAGAGAAAACTCATCCAAGGAAGAAAGTTAGGCTTTGCAAGAGGAAACTTGGGATGTTGGGCTTTTCTGGACGAAAATAACATTGGGCTTTAAAATTCAATACTCTTCATCTTTAAGCAGAAATTGAGTTTTGCATCAAGAGTTATCAACAAAATTGCCTGCCTACACAATTATTTTTTATTTTTTATTTTTGTCAAATGATAGTTTTTGTTAATTAGATATTAGATTAGCCACTAACAAGATTTAAATTCACATCTTTATACGAAGGCTCAACATCTTTCCACCACTGTTCTAAAGGGCCACTTACGTTTGCCTACACAATTTGAGTTATGGATTTTGGTAATGTGCCTAACTTGGTGGCTTACAGCAAGAATATTATGCAATTCGCTGAAAGGAATTTAGTATTCTTTCGAACAAGGAAAAACAAAAAAAGGAGGAGGAAGAAGCTTAAGAGCTTGTTTGGTATTCTATTTAAATCCAACTTTTTAAACTCAAAAACAATTTCCAAGTTTTAAGCCTTAAAAATTTGTTTGGTAGAACTATTTTAAAAAACTAAACTGAAGACTAACTAAAAAATATAGTATATTATCTAAAAACATAAAAATTGAGTTTTTAAATTTAAACTCACTCTTTTCTTTTCTCTCCCTTCTGCCCTCTCATTCCAAATCTCTCTCTATTTTCTTCTTTCTCTCTCCTCTTTTTTTTTATTACCTTTTTCGTCTCTCCTTCAATCCGCTCTCTTCATTCTCTTGGTTCTTTCTCTCACTCATTCCTTTCTATCTCGTTCGATCGTCTCTCTTCTTTCTCTTTTCTTCAATCATCTCTTACTTTATTTCCTCATCTCTCCTCTTTCTTCCTCTTCTGCAACCCCCTTTTTTTAGATCTTTTTATCTAGTTTAAGTCGTAAGATTTAAAAATTTAAATCGCAAACCAATCAAGTTTTTTAGTCTTAAAGAAAATTATTTTCAAGAAATGTTCTTAAGAAATGTTTTGAAAATGATAAAAAATTTCAAATAAACAGGCTCTAATTTTCAGAAGAAAAAAAAATCCATGAAAAAAAATATATCATGGCCTAAAGAATCAGAATCGGCAGTTTCATTTGCTGTCTTCAACCTTTGATATTCGTTCCAAAAACATTACAATTTGAATTTACCCAAATCTTCAAATAAGCATGCATCATGCATCTACCAACTAGCCTTTTGGTTTAGTAGATATTTAACTTCGCTTGATTAAAAGATATTTTAAAACCGACTCACATAAATGATGAGAACTATATATATTTGTGGTTATCCCCGTTGCAGTGGTATAACTTTGGCGACATTGAGGGTACATTGAGAAAGTCTTTGTAGATCTTCTAGTGTTTGTGGAAAAAAAAAAAAAGTAGATGCAAGATGCATGAATAACCACTTCAATCTAACAACCCATTAATTCATTATCTAATACTTCAGTCTAACAACCCAATAACTCAAGAATGGAGTTCTGACTAGGAGTGTCATATCAGTCCTTTTGAGTTTGAGTGTGAACGATTCAAACTTGGATGCGTTACTTTACTTATTCTCGTATACGTCTTACTCTTAAATACACGATACAGTGACAATTAATTTGGCCAAATTAACTTTTTATGTTTTTTTAAGTCTCTTTAAAATTAAGAATGTGTTGGATGTTATCTAGAATGTCCTCTTTGATATTTGTAACAGCTTTTTTTTATTTTATTATTATAATAAAACCGTCATGATTTTTTTTTTTTTTTTTTTTTTTGAGAAAAAATATACTAGAAACCTATAAACATTTGAAATGAGTGGTCAAGTGACCAAACTGTGTATGAAGTATGAACCACTCTAGTTTCCTTTGTGATTAGCAATCATCAAAGTCATTGATCATAATATATATGCCTTGACTTTAAAAAGAAAAGATTAGCCACAATTGAGGAACACGTTTTTTTGTTGTCAAAACACTAGAAAAACCCCGGGAATTAGGAACCGGTCTCCGTGACTAAAAACTTACATTTCTCTGGGTCCATCACAAATCTTAATATTCAACTGCGAAATCCTCAAATCCCCTCAGAAATTTCTACATATTCACACCCACCAGTCACCATTCAAAACCAAATCCCCTTAAATCCTAATCATGATCGTAATCCCCACTTAGAATCAGGCATTCGTTCCCCATAAATTAAGGATCTTTAAATATTAAACAACTGAGGGGGAGACAAGGAGGGGTTCCTATGTAATCTTAATTAATTAAACATATCTCCTAATTTTAAGCGATTTGAGTATAGCCATATTAATTAGAGCCGTGTCTTCATTCTCCACACTCAAAAGTTTGAATCGCGTCCTGGTAACTTAGATTATTAAATATTGAACAAAAGGTAGACAATAAAAGGTTTATTAACCATAATTAATTAAAGGGAAATTGGTTGTTCTAATGACAAGTCTATGAGTAAAAGGGTAACGCTTAGCTAGCGAGACCATCTATTTAAACTATCTGACGTGATTGATAACTAGATTAAATGGTCTAAAAAATTGGTCTAACTAGTATTACTTTGAGTGAACTCAAAGACTTACAAGGGTGATATGACGTCAGGCACCTTCTCGTCACTTAGATTACATTAGAATATTACTCGAATCGAAAAGAAATTGCACAATCCTCCAATGTTAAGAGATGTTAAAATGAAAATTTTAATTAGACATTACACTTTACATTCAAAGTCCTCCTTCCCTTTCCCCACCAACAAATTGTTGGGTCTAACAAGGGAATTAGGGAAGAAATAGTAGTGCCACCACCAAACCCTAATCTACAAAAGAAAGAAGATCATGAAAGTGATGGGCCAGATACTATAAAACATGCAGGCCCACCAAATCACATATTCCCAACCACCATATCTCAAAGAGTGACCAACATAATAAGGTTTTGGAAAAATTTACAACCGCTTCTTTTTTGCTCATCCTCCGTACACATCTAAAATATATAAAGGGGATTCTAAAAAGGTTTTTGCAAATTTTCTCCAAAATGCCCTCTCTCGTTTAAAATTACGACCGGGCGTGAAAGGCGTCGAACGGCAACGGCCGGTGCGGGATGGTGGTGGCGGAGGCCCAGGGGTTGATGGGCCCAGGCCGTGGTTGAACTGGCCCCATCTGAAGATGGGGCCGGGGATCAGCAGCGGACGATGATGAGTTGGGTGGGACCCCGACACGCTCACACGAGGGGCACATGGTGAGTGTTGTGGGTGGGGTCATCTGCATGTAGAACTGCGGGGAAAGTTTCAGTGCTCTCAGCTCCTGAACCTCTTTTTGCAACCGCCTGTTCTCCTCTGTCAGATTCTCACAGCATCTCTTCAAGAACTCACAGTCCACCTCTGTTTGCTTCAACTTTGTTCTGCAAATCACACAAGAATTAAATCTGTAAATAAGCCTGCACCCCGCAGGGGTATAAGCGTAAATTGGGTATATGTTTTTTGGTTTTCCGAAAATACCCACCTTGCTCTTCTGTTCTGAAACCAGACTTCCACTTGTCTAGGCCGAAGCCCAAGCTGTTTGGCCAACGCCAATTTTTGCTTCTGCACCCAAAACAAATGAAACCGTACGTGTTAAGTGGACTTTCTCAGCAACTAAACGGAAATTTGTCTATTTTCTCGGCATCCAAACAGAACTAGTCGCAGGGATTGTCTAGGAAGACAAGTAGCACTTACAGGGTTGAGAGTGTTGTGCTCCTTGAAGCTCTCTTCGAGAATGGCGGACTGGTCCTTGGAGAGCCTGAGCTTCTTCCTGCACGCCTCGCCATCCTCTTCGTCGCTGATGCCTCGAGAGCCGTCCCTCTCGAGATCGAGATCCTCGCCGTTGGCATCTCTCTCGCTCCGCTTGCCGCTCACACTCGACACGGTGCTGTTGGGGGAGGACACCCCCGCTTCGTCTTCGCAATCGCCCGTCGAAGGCGGCCGGTTCACGTCGATGCCCCGAAGGAACGATCGGGGCCCGGCCCGGTATGTCTCGGAGTTGGAGTTTAGATCTGCATATCGGATCGCGATGAAATAAGAAAACAAAAATCCAACCAATTTGTAAAAGGAAAAAAAAGTTAGTGGGTTTGGTTTGAAATTGGTGAAAAGTTTGTTGTAGAGTTACAGATCTGAAAGACAGATATTGAGAAATCATAAAAGCTCTGTTTTTTTCTGCAAAAATGTCAAAAATTAAAAGAGGGGCAACCCAAAAGGAAAAAAAAAAAAGGAGGAAAGAAATAAGAAAAGGGCAATTTCCAGGGCGTTTGTTTCTCAGGAAAAAGAGGTGAGAAAATTGTTGAAAAGGGGTGGGAAAGCCAGATCTGAAACTAGAAACCCACATGCAAGACAGGAAGACAAAAAAGCACAAACCTGAAGAAGGCAAGGGGTCATTCCAGAGGGGCTTTTGGGGAAGAAAGCCAGAAGTAGAAGAAGCTGAAGTTGGGAGCAGAGAAGGCATCAGATTGAGCCGAAAGCCGCTGCTGCTGCTGTTGCTGTGATTGTTATGGGTCTGAGGAAAATTCAAGCTGAGACTCAGACCCAAATCTTCTCTTTCAACCATCATGCTTACCTCCTTCCTTTTGTGGGAATTTCACTCTGAGTCCTGGTTCAGTTTCAGAACAAAAGAGTTGAGAGAGAGCTTGAAGGTAGAGAGAGAGAGAGAGAGAGAGAGAGAGAGAGAGGGGAAGGGGGATGTTATGGAGAAGAGTGGTGGGGAGGGTGTGGGGGGCTTTATAGAGAGAGAAAAAGAAATGGGTGGGGGGAGGGAGTTAGTGTGTAAGTTCAATCATGACTAAGGTGTCAGGAAGGGAAGCCCCCATAATCTCAATCATGGTTCTTGTTCCCCAAAATAATGTGCCCCACTCTCTCTCTCTCTAACCCACATTTGTCCTCTTATTTTCTCTCTCTACTTTTTTAACCATGGTAAATGGAGGAGGGGGCCCGCCTTTTAACTGCGTTTTGCCCAACTTTTGTTGTACCTTGCCAATAAAAAAATACTTTAATAGTAAATTTTTATACCCGTTGCTGTTATGGTCTTGGTAAGCTCTAATAATTGTGGTGTTTTGAACTTTGACCGTGCCAAACACACAAAACGGAAACAGAAACAGATGCAGAAGAAGAAAATCAGACCTTTTACTAATGCTATATTTGTTGATGTACCTTTTAAACTTGTATAAAATTATTAATTTTCTTATAAATTTTAATTTTAACCGATTATCTTCATAAATTTTATAATTAATTAATTTCTTTCTTGAATTTAATTTTAACCGATTACTCTCTGAACTTTTATAAATAGTAAATTTCCCTCCTGCATTAGATTTTAAAATTTACATCCAATTTTCTATCCATCTTGATCACGTAAATAACACATGACAACTATATGATATGTTGAGATCCAATTTTCCATCCTCAAACCGATGGGCAGTCAGAGAGAACTATCCAGACTTTGGATGATATTTTGAGATCGGCGGTCCTACAATTTGGAGACGCTTGGCACAAGGGCTTACCGTTGATAGAGTTCACCTACAACAACAGTTTCCATTCTAGCATTGTTATGGCACCATTTGAAGCGTTGTATAGGAAATGATGCCGTACTCCACTATGTTGGTCCAAAGTTGGTGAATGAGTTTTGGTAGGCTCGGAAATAGTAGATGAGACGACACGGAACATTAAGGTGATAAAGGCTAACCTGAAAGCAGCCCAGGATTAGCAGAAGAGTATTGCCGACAGACATACCACCGACAGAGTTTATAAGGTTGGTGATTAGGTATTCTTGAAGTTATCGTCGTGGAAAGGCATTGTACGTTTCGTAAATAAATGGAATCTCAACCCTAGGTACATCGGACTGTACCAAATCAGTTAAACGAGTTGATGAAGTTGCCTATCGACTCGCTTTGCCACCAGAGTTGGCGAGAGTGCATAATGTGTTTCATGTGTCAATGTTACGAAGATATGTCTCTGATCTGTCACATGTGATCCCTCCTTAACCACTAGAGATCAATCCAGATTTGACCTACGATGAAATTCCAGTGAGTATTCTTGATTGGAAGGATAAAGTTCTTAGAACAAGACCGTGCAGATGGTGAAAGTTTTGTGGAGGAACGACTCATTTGAGGAAGCTACTTGGGAAACAGAAAGCGCATGCGAGATATGTATCCACATCTGTTCTATGGCTTTGATTTGTAATATGTGATGAAATTTCGGGGACGAAATTTTTATAAGGGGTAAGATTGCGACGACCCGTCCCTAATTTTCCTATGTAATTTCTCCCCCAACTATGTGAATTGTCTATTATGCCCTTAGAGGCAAGTGACGTGGACGTGTTTATTTCTCTCTTAATTTATTTTGTCGCTTCTGTAATAAATTTGTACACATTGTTGCAAGTGTACATGAATTTTTATCAGTGTGAAAACACTATTTCAGATAGATTTCGATTCCCTTTTCTCTATCCCTACCTACCCTTTTAACCCATCTCGTGCTTTCCTTTATGATATTCACCAATCCCATCCTTTCCCTCTACACGGCACCCAATCAGAAATCAAAAAAATGAACTCTCTTTTCTCTTTCTTCTCTCTCTCTTTCCCGTATACCATTCCCTCTGTAACAACCCTATATAAGCTTCAAATGTCATAGATCGAACCCAAGAATCTCATTTTCACGCTCATCTCAATTCTACGAGCACAACCATACCCTTAGAACTCAGTTTAGACGAGATTTGATTCGTTGACTCGGAAGGTCCGAATCGGCCGAGTTTTGAGTTCAACGTATTTTCAAACGAGTTAGGAAGTTTTGAAGCTTGGGGAAGTTTCTACACAACTCCTCGAGGCTCATTCAATAATTTGGAAGAAGTTTGGAAGTGAAACGATCGAGTTTCGAAAAGTTCGCTTTTGGCTGGAACTTTCGAGGTGTTTTCCATCAATCTCCGTCCACTCCAAATAGGTATAACGTGATTCTACTCTTCATGAGCTTCAAATCCACATAAAGTAGGTTGAAAATGGTTGAGAAATGAAGAAGTTATGCAAGTTTGAAAATTTTCCAGAAACCGGCGAGATTTGAGTTGCAGACGGCGGCGCTGGCGGCGAAGGACCACGGCGAACGATAGGACTCGCTGGAGAAGCATGAGAATATTCCGTCAAAGTTAACGGAATATTCTAATGGTGTCAAGTAACGCAGTTAACCTCTGTTAAGGATTTAACGGAATATTTAGTGGAATATTCCTAACGGCCATTAGGCCTTTATTAGGATTCAGCCGTGCGTGGGGGCATGTCTGGCCGTGCCTTAGCCGGCGCGTAGGGGCGCATGCATGGTCCAAAATTATTTCTAAAAATTTAGGGATGTTCATGACGTCGAGTAGATCGATTTCATGTATTTAAACCCTAGGTTTGAGCAAACTATGGGGTTTTTTATTTAGGTTTCCACATATGTGCTTTAATTAATTCTATTATAGTTATTTCACATATAGGGAAACATATCCTGAGGAATTGAAGGGCTAGGCTAGTCTTGAGGGCTACGACCCAGCGACGTACTTGTTAGTGGACAGTTTATTTATATATATATATATATATATATATATATATATATATATGGCTTATAGTTTACATAAAATGCATTTAAATGTTTTATGCCTATTATGTTAATTTTAGTTTAATTTGGTAAATGTGCTTTGTGCTTGGAATTATAAAAAGGTTATGGCATGTTCATACGCATATCTACTTGCTTATAATTATGGTATTGTGGTAGAATACTAAAATGATTCTACAGGACGTGCAAGTAAATTCAGGTGAGTTCAGTATTGATTTGAATTGTGCAGCATACATATATTTATATAGTTAGCTTATCATTACTACACCCAAGTGTTAATGCTCCCGTCCGGGGCCAGGGCCAGCCTTTATGTGTATGTTCACCTCCCGCATCGTATGCTCGTCTTGGATCCAAGTTAGGTGTTAGCCTGTCGTACATGTCACATTAGGTGACTCCAACTTGTAGGTGACTATGCTTAGCGCAAGCTTCACGTGATCATAGCACTAGAGTGTATATTATACATCCAGCTTATTGTGCATGTCACATTAGGTGATTCCGACTTGTGTATTAGCATAGACTGATGTTAGTATATACTTGAGTGTTATTATATAGTCAAACACACGCCTATATTCTATTTTGCTGAATTATTCATGTTGTGGCACATTTATGTGATATATATATACTGTTGGCATGCACTTGATTCTTCGTACTTATATTGTAGTATGTTTGGTTTTAAGGAAACTATACTTGTTTTACGGCGAGGGGTTAGTATATTTCGAAAATAAAGGTTTTCTTATAAGCATTGTTTTGCTGACCCACTCAACTTTGTTTTTCCCCCCTCCAGGACCTAGATAGCTGATTTCTTTGTGACACTTGAGGATCATTTAGCAGTTCTGACATTATCTTCGATTTAGACGTACGAACTTATCACTGTTGTGTAATAAGTGTACTTTAGCTGCTTTGCCTACTTTTTGGTAGTACTGTCTTTTAAGCTCTGAATATTTGTAATGGGTCATTCTCACGATTGTGCACTCTTTCACGTTTCAGTATTATTAGCTCTAATTAGTTTTAAAATTTTCACTTTTCACATCACTTATCCTTATGGTTACGTCACCTCACGATGATGGCTAGCATGCTTTGACCTTCCGAGGTCAGGGTGTGTCATAATGCCAAGGGGAGAATTGGCTATTTATAAAAGTTCAGGGGGTTAATCAGCTAAAATAAAAGTTCAAGTGGGAAATTGACTAATTTAAAAAGTTTAAGAGGGTAATCAGCTAAAATTAAAGTTCAAGGAGGAAATTGGCAGCTGCATACAAGTTCAAGAGGCAAATCAACAAATACCTCTTTACTAATTCATTCATTATTTGTTTATTTTTTGACATATAATTAAATTCATTCGGAGATTCATATCTGCCATTTTGTTTTCTTTTTTGTGATATTTTTATTGTTTTGAAGAAGAATTTGAAATGTTTAAATGTTGTGTAGTTTTTTTTTTGGGTAAATTACATTTTACCCCCTCAAGTTTGGGGTCGATTGCAAACTCATACAACATCTTTAAAACATTTCAATTTCATACATTTACTTATCATTTTATTTCAATTTCATATATCCGTTAAGTGATGACGTGTAAAATATGGGATCGACATTTGTGCTAACGTGGCTGCCAAATTTGTGTCACGTGGCAAAAAAAAATTATGCATTTAAAAGACAATAATTTACCCTTTTAAAAATTAAAAAATTAAAAAATATATATATATAAATAAATAAAATAAAAACCCTAAAACCCATCTTCCCCGACCCACCTTCTCCCTCTCCTCCACTCTCTTCACCTCCCCTCCCATCCAATAATTCACCCGCAACTCAAAAACACTTCTCTCCCCTAACCGACCCTTTCCCCGCAACCTAAACCCCCCCTCCCCCATCCCACTCCACCCTCACCTCCCCCACAACCCCCCCCCCAACCCAAAAAACCTAGATTATTTGTAATCAACCAAAAAACTTAGATTTGTAATCAACCAAAAAATATGTGTGTGTGTGTTCTAAAACAGATTACCTAGAAGAAAAATAAAATAAAGGAAAGGTTGGAACCTATTGCCCCCTATGCCGCCCTCCCACCTATTTATGACGACCTCTTTCATATCTTTCTCTTCCTCATTCTC